TGCTGAGGGTACATTCAATCCCCTCATCAAAATCATTTATGAAGAGTTTCATAACATATAGGATTCATAGGATAACATATAGGATTCATAACATCCTATATGGTATTTTGGGATGCCAAGGAAAACAGAACTATTAGTTCTTGGCACAAAAGCTGGGGTCCATTTTCCGGCTTCTGTTTGAAATACATCAAATATACATAGATAGCTTAATGTGTCTTTTGGAGAACAGCAGAGCACGTTATCATCTAAAGTTTTATGCAGCTTTCTACTAGATACAGTCAAAATATATTTCATAAAGAAAAGATACAAAAAACCCCAAATGTCAATGCATGTTGTCCCATGTTGAAGAAAAGACAGTTTTGCTTTCAGACTCCGCACAGAAAAAGGACCATTACCTTTTTTGCACCTTGTTCTTCTTCGACACCATCTCCAATAACAACATACACTACTTTTCTTCCAAATCTTTGAATTATTCGCTCAAAACAACTTTCTTTTCCTGAAAGAAAAAGATCAGAGTATTCAGGATAGGTGGTGATGTGATGACATCAAATAAATAACTTTTTAGCTCAGATCTCCCCAACAATTTAAATACATAATTAGAGCTCCTGGGAGAGAGGAGCCTCTCCCACAGGATGGTGAATTGAGGCAAATTTCAGCTTTATCTCCACCATTGGAGCTGATGGGCAACCTTAAGATCTGCTCCGTGAGGTCCTGTAGTACACATGCCATGGTAGACATAGTGGACTAGAGGTCTCCAATATACCTTTCGTCTCTCCTTCCCTAATCTGAGACAGGTTTCAGGGGAATTTCCCTATCAAGAGAATTCTTGAACCAGCTGTTCACTGCCAGTATCCTGAACTCAGTGAACTGATTGAATCTGAGTCGAAATTCTAGCTTTTCTCTACAACCTGTGACAAGATTAATCACAGCTCCTGAAACAGTAGCACCCTGACTTAGGAGGTCATCCAAAAGATTTAGATTTAAATGCCTGTAATCCAATACATGGATCCCTGCACTGGGATCCATTAATGTGGCTCATTACTTCACTGCACAGTCCTGGGGAAATGATCCCAGTGCTCCAATTCTACACCTAGGTACTGATACTGGGAATCCAGAAATAAAGTAAATGCTTACACTCAGGTTTTCTCAAATGTTCCCACTCTGAAAGATCACTCTAGTTCGGTCATGGTACATGCTTACCTGTGTATCTACAGCAACCGACAGGAAAAAATAGTGTTGTTCAAAATAGTTATTTCAGCTACAGAACAATGAAAATGTAAAAACAAATAGGGTGGAAATTAAAAAAAAGGTTTCTATCCAGCAGAGAAACCAAACTACTCAAAGACACCCTTTAACAGTAGCACCAGGCATAAGAAACCTCCAACACTAACTAGGTTAAAACGGTGCTTGAAAATTATGAATTGTGTCATGTTACAAAAAATCTCATGATTTCCTGTGACAGTCAGTGACTGAACACATTTTTCCAAAAATACCCACCTGTCCTGTGTCCTTGAAGTCCTAAGTTAATATTTATTAAAATAAGTTTTAATCAAAATGTGTATTTAAAGTATTATAACTCAAAGTTTTAATTTACTTTAAAGTTTCAACAGACAGTACCATAACATTTCTATCCAGGAAACAGTTTGAAATCTTTTATGGTAATGCTTTCAAATTTCAACATAAAACTCTCAACCAAGTTTTTTTTTTTTAAATAACAAAACCAAACAAAAATAACCCACCATTTTTTCTCAGCCATTTGAGCTTCTTTTATTACTGATACTTAAGAACACATGAAAAATGTTTTCATGTAGCCCACAATTTTGAGGGAATCTGAGATAGAACAGATATGTCATAATCATGTTAAAAACTACAAGCACTGTTGCCATCTGGTACTACGTACTTCTACATATTCAGAATAACATCTTTTATATTGAACCAGAAAACAGAAATAAACATTTGCCCGGCTGAAGCTTATTACAGTTAGTAGGAATGAACTTAAATAATTACATTCTGCAGCAAAACATTCTTGCTTCTGGTAAATTGTTTACTGAAATTTGCTCCAGAGCCCATGAAAACAAATGGAGCCAGGAATTACCTTTACAGGATTTCTTCTGCTAATCTGGGGAGACTTCACGTTCTGTACTCACAGCCTACTAAAAAGCCTTCTCAACTGCTACACAGCCTCACAGTTTTGAGAAATTACTCACAAAAAGCCATTATGTTTCCTCCTAACAAAGGCTGCAACAGCATTAACAGAGCTATATGAAGCTTTCTATGTTGGTTCATGACAGACATTTTAAAAGCACTTTTAGGATGCCTTAGCATGAAAAGTGTTTCAGGAGATCAGGTATTACAAATCTCTGTATTTCCTACAGTGAACGTAGGTAGGAAATAAATATAGACTACAGTAGCTTTTTATTAAGAATTACAGTTTCAAGTGTATCACAACAGTATAAAAATAGCTCACCTATTTTAGTTGCACTGTAAATATTCTCTATGGGAAATACAACCCCTAGTCCATACAACAAGACTTTCGCCAGAGCTGGAATTAGCTGAGTAGTTGTTACAAGAATGTTCACGCAATTTGTCCTATGGAAGAGAAAATGCAAATATCCTTTTTTTTTTTAACAAAACAAAACAGAACAAGGAAAACCTTATCCCTCCCATCAGAACCCTCCACCATTTATCACTGCCACTTACAAAGAAAGGTCTTTTTTTCCACCTTACAGGAGAGTAAGGTACAGAGTGGCATGGTCAGACCAGAACAAGGAATGAGAAGAAGGTCCTCCAAGTTCGGCATTTTGCCCACCAGACCAGGCAGCCTCTTCTAGATCATTAGCAGACACCCTAAAGTATCCTAACTACCCCATACTCTTTGTACTCACCTTGAATGAATAAGGGTGAGTGCTTTCAGTGCAAGTGTTAACCAAGAATCCGTCAAAGCTTCAATTTCTGCTCTTAGCTGTAACCAAGCCTCTCTTTTTGCTGGACCAAGAAGACCTGTGGAGAAGATAAGGGTATGTCTTCACAGAACTTAAATAACTTCTGTAATTTTCCTTTGCTTTCATTAGCTCAGAGACACTGAGCCACACTGCAAACTAAACAGCTCAATAAACATCACCATGTTAAAATAGGAACAGAAACTAAAAGTTCTTCCCTTTCACTACTTCTAATCTGTATTTGTTAGATACTACAGAGTCACTTGCCTCCAACATTATTTTTGTAGGTATTATATATTTCTTTTACTCGTCTGTAGCGGAAAGCCAGTTTTCGCATCCAGTCCACTCCTCCACGCACACCTGTTGCGAGGCACAAATTTGCACTGGTGGCAGCTGCAGGAAAGCCGTCTGTTCCGAAGTTATAGGTGCTATAGAGATAAGAAAACGTCCAGATTAAAAAAAGGCAACAGGCTACATTCAACCAGCAGCTACTCACTTTGCTGGGTTGCAAAGGCTAAAACAGCTAAAAAGCGAGCGGGCTACTGTAAGCGTTACAGCAGTTCATCGCTTTCCCAGGAAGGAACTTGCAAAGCAATGTTTTATCTTGGTCTGTTCTCTTGTACCTTAAATCTTGACCGTTGTCATCTGAAGACACGTCATCAATGTGAACCTGGTCGCATTCCTAAGGTGACAGAAAGACTTTATAATTTTCTTGTTCTTGCACATCTCAAAAATAAAGCTATAAAAAATATGAACAATCTACTCATCAGGGATATTTTTAATTGCGGAAATCAGTAGATGGCAGTCTTGTTAAAACAACTATTTTACCTATTCCTTGTGCTCATTTCTTAGAATAAATGCACACCATCATTAGCTACTACTGTTAAATGGCTTTCCAAAAACACATTTTTTTGTGTTTAGAAAGGAAAGTGGTTAAAAACAATTAGCATATGTGTTTCATAAATGTTCTTGTAGCCTTTCAGGTACCTTAAAACATCATGCTGCTCAAAGCTGATTCAGTCAGTGCATAAGTGTAACTGAAACCAGACATTTTGGTAAATGTAACATATTAGAAAAATTAAACCTGATGCTAACCGCCAATGAAATTATGACCTCTGATTGCTGTTGAGCCACACACCAACACAGCCTGAGGCCAATGTTTCAGAGAAGCACAGATGAAAAATCTGTTCCTAGTTTGGCATTCATTTGAGAGTTGTGAGTTTCCTTCTCTCTCTTTGGTCTTAGTGTATGAAAGCAGTATGCAAAGATGAAGAAAATCTGAACAGAAATAGCCAAATCAAACCACCTTTCTTCAGCGACTGGTACGCAAAATAATACAGCACATTCATAATTAGATTTGTCCATCACTACATTAAAAACCATAATGCATATTGTTTATCCACTAAAAAACATTAATATTAGCAATTTAACTTTCGGCAGGAAAATAAATAAACCCCTGGCACTCTAGATCAAGCTCACTTCAATGCTTGAAACAACAATGGATTTCAATTATTTTAATAATTTCCTCCTCTTTCTCTTAATGTGAAGTCCTATAACAAACATGATCTATTTTAAACATGAAAATATTGAAATCCTTTATTTTTTGTTACAAATTTTCCTCTCTCCATGGATTTGTGAGGAAAGGAGGGAAGATAGAAGTGGAAAGAAACTCAAACCAGCTGTTCCCTAACAGAATTAAAATCATGACCCTCAACCTTTTTCCTAAAACATCTATTTTCCAGCCAACCCTCTCCCAGCAAGCAGCAAGCTCCAAGGAGGAAAGGACTTTGACCCTGTAACCTTCTCCTCCTCTCCTGAGGTCAACAACCTCAGATAAGAAAAAAGCTGAAGAAGTCTATTTGGCCTCACATGATGGCTGTGGATTCTAGATTTTTAAAAACACAGGACTGCAAAAAATGTCTCAGAAAATTTTCAAATGTTTTGAAGAACAAGGCATGGTCTTCTGCACTTGTACAACATATTCTTACTGTAATATGTACTCTTTCATGTTTTACACATAGGTAGCTTGTGCTAGAGAGGTAAAAGTGACAACCAGCACAGGAAAGACAATACTACATTTACTCATGTTTAACCACCATACAGTGAATTCCCTCCTCAGGCAGACAAAATGTATCAGATGTACAGACACAGCTGAATCTACAAGTGTGAACATATGTTGCCAGGCTTTGAAAATCAACTTGGCTAAAAAAAAAAAAGCTGGAAGCTTCTTCAGCAAGTTATCAAATTCACAGAAATCAAAGTGTTGGGTTTTTTTTTTGTTTAAAATGGAAAGGAACTGTCCATCCAAATGTCTACAAAGCTAACAATTCAGATATGAACAGAGTGTAAGCTAATGAACAGACACCCTCCTGAATCTGTGAGTTTCCCACTGCAGTTACTCTTGTACTGCTCAGTGACTTCTCAAAGTCTCCTTGGATTGAAAACTTAAGCTTGAGTTGTCAATGTAGCAGTGAAAATTACCAAGTGAATAGCCTCCTCCCCCAGCTTGGAAGCTATGAGTGACAACTGGAACAAGCTGCTAGAGAAGAGGATTCAAAATAGAAATCTGTGAAAATGAAACAATTTGCTTAGTAATTACAAAACTAAAGGAAGGTGCGGAAGATCTTCTTCTCACAGGAGTTGTTGAAAGAAGGAATAACGCAACAGACTTCCAAATTCAGCTCTCTCAGGCAAAAGATAGAGGCAGGAAAGATGACACCACTACATCCCAGATCCCACAGTTAGAGAGGACCTGAGGACTTCAAATTTCAATTTATGCCGCCAGGTTTTGGGACCGTCACAAGCCCTGGGATATGACAGACATTCTCCCCTTCTGTCTAATCATCTGCTTGGTAGGTAGAAAGTGATAACTGAAATGATACTTTAGAAATAGAAATCATGATATTGAAAGAAAGAGGGATTTTGGAGAGAAAAACCCAGAAGAGAAAGCACAGACTAAAAATTGTTGGGGTAAAGGTATAGAAGCAATGTCAAGAAAGCAAGCAAAGTGAAGAAGAGGTCATGAATATCACAAATTTCAGGTAGAACACTGTATAAGATGGAGACAGATAGAGTCCTCTTTTTGTCAGGAATAAAAGAAGAGGAAAGTTAAGTCAGGAAAGGAATGAAGCAAAATTAAAGCACAAGAGATATGTGTTACAACTTGGAAAAGATTAAAGACCGATGTGATTGACACTATGTTACAACTAAAAGAAGGTCACAACAGTGAGTGCACGACTGTTTCGTTCCTGTTGAGTGGCAGGACACGGCTTTGAGGCTAAATGTGAGCTTTGAGTGCCAGGTATTTTTTCACGCTGTCTAGCTGACCTGGCCTTTAGGCTAATGAGTGATGGGTGCATTTTTCAACCCCTAACACGGGAAGGAAAAACGCTCATTTAGCAATTGCTCTTATATTGCTTATATAACTTTACTAGTTATTTAGGCATAACTTCAAAGAAGCCAATTACTTGCCCACCATTAACTGATCTGGTTCAACCTTCCTTCCGAACACCTTGTATTTGTTTTCACCTGCTTGCTTTGAGTTAAGCATTTTGTTCATAAGCAAAAACAACTACCTGAGACACTGTTCAGTCCCCTGATTAGTTATAAGCCAGCACTCACATGTTTAACATTTTAAAATAGCAGTTTACTAAATATGCACCATAATCGGGGGTATGCTAAAATGAAGTCTGATGCTGACCAACAAATAAAGTATGCACTTCCAACCAGTACATTTTTCAAAAATATATTTTAATAAACATGCAGAGACTTGTAAAATCCTCAAGTACTTCCCAAAAAAGCTTCTGTGACGGGAGCCAATTTAAAGCCAAACAGCCATTCAGAGAAAGACAACATAGGTTTGTTTGCATGCTTACCATTTCAAACTTTCACAGATACATTTGACACTATTACAAAATTTTCATAGGAAATATTGTACTAGTATCCTCCCCTGGCAAAGTGATATCTGAAATTAATACTGGAAATCTCTGTAGAAACACCATAAATACATGTTATTTATGCAGATGTATTTTATTATGATAGAATCAGTTTAGCAGTCAGCTCCAAAGCAGAACACTAAAATTGTTGGACTCTCTTTTAAAATAGGCAATTTAAAATGGCAAGTAAGGAGCAAAATATCCTGTAGCTTATGTATAAAGATTATGCAGCAAGCTGTGTTTTGCTCCTAAAGGTGTTGACCTTGCAACTTCAGTGTATCCAGTTTGAAATCTTCATGAGGGACTACAAGTGATGACATGTTTGCACTGAAGGATTGGATTTCAGTCAGACAGGCTGAGATGCAGCTCTGCACTGTGGGATCACTCCCTGGAAAGCAAAACGCACTTGGTATAGTTCAGGGATGACACTTTCGGAAGGACAAACCACCTCAGACATCTAAACTCTATTTTCACATAGGTCCATCTAAAGTCCACTGATTTTAATGAAACCACTGCCAAAATGCTGAATTTGCATTTGAAAATGGGATGTGGGCTACTCAAACATACAGAAATTTTAAAAGACCTTATTCATGGTGCCACATGCATGTTTCGTGTATGAGGGGCAGAAAGGGGATAGGATAGGTATTCACAAAGGGTAATTTAGTAGAGGGAAGTGATGCTACTCTGATTTAGATCTCTGCTGCTGATCCCTTGCAGCCGTGGCCAGCAATCACAGGGCGAGTTGGTCAGAAACCTGGATTGCTTCTTTTTTCTCAGTTGGTTTTCTGTGCAAGCAGAACTGTGGGAAACGGCAGGAGAGTGGAGTTGGGTGGTGGGAGCGGGACTGGCCTCCCTGGCAGCAGCCTGGCAGCTGCCCAAAGTGGCACCTCCCAAAGCTCCATCAAATAAGTGCTGTCTGGAAGCTGGGGAGGTTTGTTCAAAAGGCTTAATGGAAAATTACATTTTAAGAAAGAATTTGAGGCAGAGGGAAAAACTCATCTTTGGCAAAGAGTGAGAGCAGGATTTTTCAGCTCAGGAATGGTAGCATGAAAGAGAGCAAGCTGTGAAATGCAAAAAGATTTAAAAGCCTGTAGGATGGAGACACTGGCAAAAGCTATTGCCAGGGGAGAGAAAGGAAACCTTTCTTATATACCTCTGAAGTGCAAGTCTGGATGAGGGAGGACACTAGATAGGTGATATAAAACATTGGTAACGTGCTTAAAGCATGTTCCAAGCATGATGTTAGCAGTGGCATGGGTAATTGTGGACTTACCAATTAGCCTAAGGGAAAATGAGAGTGTCAGCATGTGTAACTTAGCAAATCTACTTATAGTAATTTAAGAAGTTACTGTCCATGCTGTCCTTTGCTGTTCTCCCACACAGTTGGCTTGCATGGATCCATGTGTTTGTGTCCCTCAGATCTTGTAGTGCCACTACTGGTAGCTTGCCTTGAAACAAATCTGCAGCAGCTCCATGAAACCCACAGACATTGCATGGAGTAACTGAGACTTGTTTCTGCATTCCCTTCCATCAGCTCTGCTTTGGGGCTTGAAGCAGCAGCAGATACGTGCTTGCAGGAGCTCCATAAAACTGCTGCAATCATTTGCTAAGTGAAAATATATCTCCAGTGAAATGCAGCAAGCCAAAGAAAAACAACAATTGAAAATGAATGACTAGATGAGTCTAGCCTAAGACTTGTACATGGAAAGCTTGTGTCTTCTCCCTCCTCTATTCCCAAAGCATTTGC